GAGCCATGGGGATATTGATAGAGAAACATATCATTATATTAATCATGATAAGCTGCATAAACCTATAGAAACATTAAGAGGATTTGTTTTCCTAAATTACTTAGAAGTACAACATGGTCAGTCCTATTTTCAGAGTCAAAACCAAGACATAAGTCCTTATCAAAGATGCCTGGCACATGGTCTTCCTACACCAGAAAAAGACAACTGGGAGAACCCTCTGCACTCTATCAAGCTGATTTATAAGCTTTTAAAGAGGCAGATGGGTAACAAATTCTGGTAGAGCATACCAGTCAGCAAAGTCTAAGAAGTAATTTTTTGTCCCCAAGTAGCAACTCAGTTGCTATAAAGTGTTGTTGGGGACAGGGGTTCTCTGGTGAGGTGATCAGCAACAGGAAGGCTGGCAGCAGCTGGACACACAGCTAGGGTGATAGCAGGTGGTCTGACAGCAGACAGGGTGGCTACAAGGCTGGCAGCAGCTGGATCCACATTCCTGGGCTTGGCACCCAAGGAGGCAGCAGCACGTGGGGTGGTAGCAGATTCTGTGGCAGTACACAGGAGCACAGCAAGCTGGCTGACAGCAAGGCTGGCCGCACCTGGACCCACTGAAGGTTTGTCCACAGCTGCTGGACCCACAGCAGGTGGGCTGGCAGCAGGTGGTCACACAAGTAGGCTTGCAGCAGGTGGTCCTACAGCAGGTGGTTTAACTAGTTTGATAGCAAGTTGGGGGGCAGGAGGGCTGGCAGCAGATGGTCTCACAGCAGGTGGGCTGACAGCAGGGTTTGCTGCAACAGGTGGGCTGGCAGCAGGAGGTCACACAAGTAGGTCTGCAGCAGGTGGTCCTGCAACAGGTGGTTTGACAGCAAGCTGGGGGGCAGCAGGGCTTGCAGCAGCTGGACTCACAGCAAGTGGTCCTACAGCAAATGGGCTGACAGCAGGTGGGCTGGCAGCATGGGGAGCAGCACGAGTGGGTCATTGTGTCTGTGGAGGGTGGACTCCTGTTCAGAAGTGAGTTTCTCAGATTCTGCTCACTCCTCCTGTTCTGGGGCTTTTATATCCTGGACCCCCAATGTTGGGACCAATAAGCAGGACTTTCCTGGTTCTTCTTTATGTTATTGTTGTAGTTTTGATAATTGTCATGGAGGAAGTTGCTTTCTTAGTGTTTTATAGAGAGGCCTCTGTAAATAAGTGTTTGATCTTTTCCTTAATTGGGTCTAGTACTTAAGAATCTTTCCTAGAAATGAAAAAGTCAGGAATCATCACCAGCAGCATTTCTGGTCCTGTGACATCATCTGGTCATGGGGTAGTTCCTGCTGGCTCTGTGAAGGTCAGAATAGTTCTCCTTTCTCAGCTTTGTTCCTTTGGCTCTAGTTAGACTGGGACCTGCCTCCAAAGGGTCAGGATGCTGATGCATTCTGTGATGAATGAAGCCTGATTGAGTTCAAGCCTGATCTCTGACAAAGTCAGAGTTAAGACTTCCACATGTACCTATATATACCTATATGTGGCAACTAGTTTGAAGTGTTTCCCAGTTTTATCAGGGTCATTTGAGTAGTGGATGGTTGGCACATTGTTTTTCAAATGAAAATCAGCACCAAAACTGGAATAGAGGCAAAAACTGAATCCTATTTTCTCAAACAGCATCCCTTCCTTACTGTTTCAGTGCTATTTTCTAGTTTAGGTTAATGACCTCTGGTGAGACATCCCAACTTGCATATACTTTTTTCTATAATTTGTGACAAGCAGGTTAGATAGGAGAATAACAAAGGTATGTTTGAATCTGTAAATTTACATACTCCGACAAATGTTGAATCTCAGCCACAATTTCTTAGAGCTTTTAGGCCCCATTTTCTCTCTTTTAGATGTATATGTTAGAGTATAATTGCCATATAATGGGAAAACATATAGTCAGCAGTAGAAAGGATAAAACAATAATGTAATTCCAATGGCAGAAAAAAGGGAAAAATTTAAAATTTGTGTGGAACTTCAAAATAGCCAATGCAATATTGAGAAAGAAGAACAAAGCTGGAAGCATCTTTTTCCTTGATTCCAAACAGTATTACAAAGCTATATTAAACAAAACTGTATAGATTAGAAAAAACCAGCACCTAGATCAATGGAATAGAGTAAAGAGGCCAGAAATAAGTCCACACATTATATGGCCTACTGATTTATTACAACAGAGCCAAGAATATATTAATGCAATAAGGAAATTGCAATCTCTTAAACAAATAGTGGTGGGAAAACTGGGCAGCCATGTGCCAAAGAATGAAACTGGACTCCTCTCATACACCATCCACAAAAATTAACTCAAAATGGATTAAAGACTTGACATTAGACCTGAGATTATAAAACTCCTGAAAAGGAAAATAGATAGTAAGCTCCTTAACATTGGTCTTAATGCTGACTTTTTGATTTGACACCAAAATAAAGGCAACAGATCTAAAACTGGGAATAATTAAACAGTTTATGCCTAGAAAAGGAAACTATCAACACAATGAAAAGGAAACCTATTGAACTGAGAGAAAATATTTTCAAATCATATTTCATAAAAGATTGATATTCAAAATGCATAACTCAATAGCTCACATGACTCAATAGCAAAAATGAAACAACCTCATTTAAAATGGGCAGAGGTTCTAAAGACATACTTTTCCAAAGAAGACATGCAAATGGCCATCAGATACATGAAAAGGTGTTTAATATCACTAATCAACAGGAATGCAAATCAAAACCACAATGAGATATCAGTTCATACCAGTTTTAGCATGGCTACCATAAAAATGTCAAGACATACAAAGATTTAATGAGAATATGAAAAAAAGGGAACCCCTTTCCCTGTTAGTTGAAATGGGAATTGGCACAGCCACTATGAAAAACATTACGGAGATTCCTCAAAAATTAAAATTGGACATGAGGAGAATAGAATATGATCTAAATATTCTACTTCTTGGCATTTATCTGAAGAAAACAAAAACGCTGACTCAAAAAGATTTATGCAGCCACACGTTCATTATAGCATTGTTTACACTAGCCAAGACACACGGAAACAACCAAAGTGTCTGTCAATGGATGAACGGATAAAGAAAATATGGAACATATTATATAATGGAATGTTATTCAGTAACAGAGGGATATCTTCCCATTTATGACAATGTGAAAGGACCTTGAGGACATTAAGCTAAATGAAATAAGTTAGAGAGAGACAAATACCATGTGATTTCACTTATATATGGACTCTTAAAAAGAAATTTCTAAAACTGAGCTCATAGATAGAACAGAACAATGGTAGCCAGAGGTGGGAAGTGGGGTGGGTGAAACAGGTAAATGGGATCGAAAGGTACAGGATTCCAGTTATAAAATATGCATGGGGAATGTGATGTACAGCATAATGACCATAGTGAAAAATACTGAAATCTTTTAAAGTTGCTAGAAAAGTGGACTTTAAAAGTTCTCATGGAGACAAGTGTTCAGGGCTGGTGCACTGGGAAGACCCAGGGGGATCGGATGGGGAGGGAGGCAGGAGGGGGGATCGGGATGGGGAACACATGTAAATCCATGGCTGATTCATGTCAATGTATGGCAAAATTCACTACAATATTGTAAAGTAATTAGCCTTCAACTAATAAAAATAAATGAAAAAAAAATTCTCATGCAAGAAAAAAACTTTGTAATTATCAATTGTGACAGATGTTAATGTTAACTAGACTTACTGCAGTGATAACTTTGCAACATCTACGAATATCAAATTATTATGTTGAACACCTATAAACAATATAATGCCGTGTCAATTAAAGCTCAGTTTAAAACAAACAAATAAGGATAGATACACACCAATAGAATTCAGAAGTCTCATATCAGGAGAGTACATGACACCACTGTAGTGAAATATTGAAACATTTTTATTGTTTCTACCACTGTTGACTACCTGCTTTCCCTATGACATGGCAATTACACTCTTACATACCTAACTAAAAGAGAGAAAATAGGATACAAAAAAACTCTAAGAAATTATGGCTGACACATTTGACATTTATTGAAATCTATAAGTCTATAAAGTTATCATCCTATCTACCTATTTGTCACAAATTATAAAAGAAAGTATGTGTAAGTTTGATGTCTCACCGGAGGTGATTGATCCAGCTAAAAATAGTTATGGGACATTCATGAATTGATATCTGAAAACAGGGTACAGCTTTTGCCTCTATTCCATTTTTGGTGCCGAATTGCTAGTGAAGAACAATGTGCCAACATCTTCTACCTAAATGTACCTAATAAAGCTGGGAGACATTTTAGGTCAGTCACTACTGATTTGAAAGACATGTATATAGATACATGTGATCGTCTTGAATCTCAGACTTCATCTGACATCACACTTGGACTTTAGCTAGCTTCATTCATCACAGAATGCATCAGCATCCAGCAAGTCTCAACCTAAGTGAAGTCAAAGGAACAAAGAAAAGATGACTGTTCCGACCCTTGCCAAGGCAGGAAGAACTATCTCATGACCTGATGATGTCACATGACCAGAGATCCTGTTGGGATGATTCCTTATTCTTTTTCCCTTCTGGAAAAGGTTCTTAAGTACTAGTCCTAATTAAAAAGAAGATCAAACACTAATTTACAGAGGCCTCATAACACTAAAGAAATCATTTCCTCTTGGATAATTTCCCATTGACTACAAAAACAACATACACAACAAGGAAAGTCTTGCTTATTGGTCCCAACATTGGGGGTCCAGTGTATAAAAAGCCCCAGAACAGAAGCAGTCATCAGAATCTGAGAAACTCACTTCTAACCAGAAGTCCACACTCCACCAGTGACAAAATGACTCACTCCTGCTGCTCCCCGTGCTGTCAGCCCACCTGCTGTGAGCCCAGCTGCTGCCGGCCTTGCTGCCCCCCAACTTGCTATCAGACTAGTGAAAACACCTGCTGTAGGACCACCTGCTGCAAACCTACATGTGTGACCACCTGCTGTCAGCCCACCTGTGGTGGGTCCAGCTGCTGCCAGCCTTGCTGTCGCCCTGCCTGCTGTCAGACCACCTGCTGCAGGACCACCTGCCTCAAGCCTACGTGTGTGACCACCTGCTGTCAGCCCACCTGCTGTGAGCCCAGCTGCTGCCGGCCTTGCTGTCGCCCTGCCTGCTGTCAGACCACCTGCTGCAGGACCACCTGCCTCAAGCCTACTTGTGTGACCACCTGCTGTCAGCCCACCTGTGGTGGGTCCAGCTGCTGCCGGCCTTGCTGTCTCCCTGCCTGCTGTCAGACCACCTGCTGCAGGACCACCTGCTGCAAGCCCACCTGTGTGACCACCTGCTGTCAGCCCACCTGCTGTGAGCCCAGCTGCTGCCGGCCTTGTTGCCCCCCAACTTGCTATCAGACTACTGAAAACACCTGCTGTAGGACCACCTGCTGCAAACCTACATGTGTGACCACCTGCTGTCAGCCCACCTGTGGTGGGTCCAGCTGCTGCCAGCCTTGCTGTCGCCCTGCCTGCTGTCAGACCACCTGCTGCAGGACCACCTGCCTCAAGCCTACTTGTGTGACCACCTGCTGTCAGCCCACCTGTGGTGGGTCCAGCTGCTGCCGGCCTTGCTGTCGCCCTGCCTGCTGTCAGACCACCTGCTGCAGGACCACCTGCCTCAAGCCTACTTGTGTGACCACCTGCTGCCAGCCCACCTGCTGTGGATCCAGCAGCTGTGGACAAACCTGCAGTGGGTCCAGGTGCTCTCAGCCTTGCTGCCAGCCAGCTTGCTGTGCACCCGTGTACTGCCATAGAACCTGCTACCACCCCACATGCTGCTGCCTGCCTGGGTGCCAAGACCAGAGCTGTGGATCCAGCTGCTGCTAGCCTTGCAGCCGCCCTGTCTGCTGTCAGATCACCTACTGCAGGACCACCTGCTGCTGCCCTAGCTGTGGGTCCAGCTGCTGTCAGCCTTCCTGCTGCTGATCAGCTTGCCAAGGAGCCACTGTCCCTATACAACACCTTCTGCTAATTGACTTGCTACCTGGGGACAAACAAAATCACTTCTTAGACTCTGCTGACAACTGGCATGCTCTACCAGAATTTCAGTTACTCATCTCCTTGCTTAAGAGCTTGTGAATTAGCTTCCTCCAATTGTCTTCCTCTGGTGTCGGAGGACCATGTGCCAACTGCCTGCATCTGTGATAAGGAAGCATGTCTTGGTTTTGACTCTGAAAATAGGATTGACCATCTAGTTCTTCTGAGTAACTTAAGAAAACGAGATCTCAGAATGTTTCTATAGGTTTCTGCAACCTATCATAATCTTTATAATCATATTTTCTCTTTTGCTATCCTCATAGTTCTTGTATCATGCTTTCTCCTTTCATGATCACTTGGAGGTTTACCCATATGTTTCTCAATAAATGGTGTACCACAATTCTTCTATATGTGTTTGATTTATTGCACCACCTTCCTGACATAGAAATTTATATATCATATGCTTTATCCATTATGAGCATCATATTAGCCCCCTTCCTAGTTATTATCTCATTATTAAAAACCCATTTCATTGTGGAGTGTGATTTACCAATAATAAATAGACTCATCCAGGATGAAGTCTTCTGTTCCTGCTCAAGGGCACTTACATTTACATCCCAAGGAACTATTAATAGATGTCTGAACCTCAGTGACTATGTCCTTGGCAAGCTATAGTTGCTGTCATTGTTCATGTGGTTATCTACAGCTGGGCCTGGACGCACCATGAGATACTCCAAGGAAATTATGCTCAGACTATTTCTCCCTGCCCTCTATCTTTTCATGATAATTATCCCTCAGCAATTAGTAACTCCTCTCTCTGCCCACTGGTCTATCTAGATGAGGAGTCCAAAATGACCAGGTGACAGTTTAAACATAGACTATATTCCCTAAAAAATGTGACTTTTATAGTATTAAGCCCTTCAATCCAGGAGAGTATAGATCCATGGGGAGGGGAAGAACAGATTGCCATATATGTCACCATGAGTTAAAGTGAGAGGGTTCACTGCTCCTTCACTTTCTGAAACCATGTATACTACCTTTGTGGATATACATGGTACTACCTATTTGGGAACCACATAGTGGCCATTAGGTCGAAGTATGTACCATATTCAGAAACAACATATCAACCTCGTGTGTTGTCATCTCTAAGTTGGTTCTTACTGCAGTCTACAAGACCATCTAATTTTCCATGAGCCAGCCATCTCTTGATGAAACTGAAAGAGGCTCAATACTCTTGGCTTAAAACTCAGCATTCAGAAAACTAAGATCATGGCATCTGGTCCCATCACTTCATGGCAAATAGATGGGGAAACACTGGACACGCTGAGAGACTATTTTGGGGGGCTCCAAAATCACTGCAGATGGTGACTGCAGCCATGAAATTGAAAGACGCTTGCTCCTTGAAAGAAAAGTTATGACCAACCTAGACAGTATATTAAAAAGCAGAGAATTACTTTGCCAACAAAGGTTCATCTAGTCAAGGCTATGGTTTTTCCAATAGTCATGGATGGATGTGAGAGTTGGACTATAAAGAAAGCTGAGCCCCGAAAAATTGACGCTTTTGAACTCTGGTGTTGTAGAAGACTCTTTAGAGTCCCTTGGACTGCAAGGAGATCCAACCAATCCATCCTAAAGGAAATCAGTCTTGACTATTCATTGAAAGGACTGATGCTGAAGCTGAAACTCCAATACTTCAGCCACATGATGCGAAGAACTGACTCATTTGAAAGGACCCTGAAGCTGGGAAAGATTGAAGGCAGGAGAAGGGGATGACAGAGGATGAGATGGTTGGATGGCATCACCGACTCAATGGACATGAGTTTGAGTAAGCTCCAGGAGTTGGTGATGGACAGGGAAGACCGGTGTGCTGCAGTCCATGCAGTCACAAAGAGTCGGACATGACTGAGTGACTGCACTGAACTAAACTGAACGAGAGAATTCTAATTTTCCATGGGTCAGTTATTTCTGTCATGTGATGTATGGTAGAACAAGTAGATCCCATGTTCGTTTGCCTCTTGTTGATCTTGTTCATCAAAAAGTGGGTCTGTGGGTCCTAAGTTTTACTATTCAGAATCCTATGACAATAATACTGTAAGCTGGTGGATAGTATTGCTGATAGAGATAACAATCCATGTTTATAACATGGAGTCCTAGTAAAGAAGAATTGCTGTCTTTTCCATGCACATGTAGTCTAAGAGGAAAACTAACCTGCCTTCAAGTTAGCTGGCTAGGTTTCCTGAGGGATATTATTCTCTGCTTCTGACCAGCAGCATATACAGCAGGGCCAGCCGTGGTCAGAGTGAGCTTGTGCTGTTGGTTCACACAAACCTTCCTTCCCTGCCACCATGGACTCTGTTCATGTATAAGCATCGATGCACCTAAAGAAAGAGATGGGGTAAGATATCCCAAACTTGCAGCTGTCCAGTGTTTCCTTTGTGGTAAACACTCTGGAGGTCATTGATGTGGGACACAGTGGGAAGCACTTTCTGCCCTCACACCTCCATCTAAACAATTCTTCAAATCCCTTTACTTTCCACTCTTGCTTCTCCCTTGGCTCAATGCAATCAGTCAGTCCTTTTACCACATACAAATAGGCAAAGAGCATCATTTCCTCAGGGCACATTAAAAAAAAAAAAACATATATATATATATATACATATATATAATGAACATGCGTACTGACTCACTCTTCACTGTGAGTATTTTCTCTTTCCACTACCCTTGCACAGCAGAAGTGTTATCTGTCATAGTCAAAATTCTCCATAAAAGCTTCTCCATTTGGCTTAAAAGCTTCTACTGAAGTTAACAGTTGATGAAATTTAAGATATTGAATGCTCATATATTATGATCAATTTGATTTGGTAGAAATCAAATGGAATTGGGATGGTAATTATTTTAAATACTATTTTTAATTAGAGGATAATTACAATATTGCAATGGTTTCCACCATACATCAACATGAATCAGCTATAAGTATATATATAAAGGAGGAAACAGACAGAGCAGGCTCGATCTTGAAAGCAGGACTCCATCTTGGGCTGGACTGTGGACTTTGAGCTATATGCCCAGTATCTATAGAAATGACATACCAACTGGAAAACCAGACCCCCTGGATGGAAGAGCCCCAGGGTTTGTACCTAGACTCTCCGTCACCTAAAAGAATACCCTAATTATCTGTGTAACCAAATAGAATCATAAATTCTATTATGCTTATTGGGGTATGATCACAGGCCTACTGATAATTGTCCACTGATAACTACGTAGTCTTAAGGCATATGAATCACAGGTTAACTTTTATTGTGTCTTTCTTTTCCTTTGTTCAGACTAGTTTCAGGGAATCTGGGGAGGTGGGTTTGGGCAAGTACAGTTAGGGTACGTACAGTTTTCACAAAAACTGGTCGGGGTCCTTGGCTAAGAGGAGACACTACCTTGGGCCCGCTGGTGTAATAAACTGCACTCCACTGTCTGCATTGTCCTTCTGAGTGAGTTTGTTTCCTGGAACGCGTGGCTGCAACACATACATCCCTTCCTCCTAAGCCACTTTCCCACCTCCTTCTCCATTCCACCCCTCTAGGTCATCACAGAGCACCAGCTTTGGGTTCTGCATCATACTACCAATCTCATCTGTCTATCCACTTTATGGGCTTCCCTGGTGGCTCAGATGGTAAAGAATCTGCCTGCAATGCAAGAGACCTGGGTTCAAACCCTAGGTAGGAAGATTCCCCTGAAAAGGGAATGACTCCAGTGTTCTTGCCTGGAGAATTCCATGAACAGAAGAGCCTGGCGGGCTACAGTTCATGGGGTCTCAAAGAGTCAGACATGGCCCAGTGACTAACACACACACACACACACACACACACACGTTCACTTCGTATATGGTAATGTATATGTTTCGATGCTACTTTCTGGAGTCATGCCACCCTCTCCCTCTTGCACTGTGACCACATATCTGCTCATTATGCCTGTATCTCCTTTGCTGCCCTGCAAATAGGATCATCAGTACCATCTTTCTAAATTCTATATGTACGCATTAATTTGTGATATTTGTCTTTCTCTTTCTGACTTACTTCACTCTTATAATAGGCTCTAAGTTCATCTGCTGCATTAGAATGGATTCAAATGTGTTCCTTTCTACAGCTGAGTAATATTCCATTGTGTATGGAATGTACACAATTATGTAACACAATTTCTTTACCCATTCATCTGTTGGTAGACATCTAGGTTGCTTCCATGTCCTTGCAATTGTAAATTAGTGCTGCAATGAACATTGGGGCAGATGTGTTTTTTTCAATTAAGGTTTCCTG